CCCATTTTAAAAAAAAAAAAAAAAAAAAAGCACGAATGAGTATACAAATACTCTATAAGTAGCTCACTTTTGGTTCTCGACCGTCCAAAAAATCATATTATGAATCTCTATAATATGTGGAATCCGGAATAATTTGTAATTAACATATGAGACGATCATGTTCAAGAAATAACTTAAGGGTCGTTTGTACGAAGACATGTGATTGAGAGTATCTTATACAATTAGTTTATATAAGTCTGGACTATAAAATATTTAATCTCTCTTGATAAGTCTATGAATTGAAAAGATTAATATTTCACAAGATAATCATAAGTGACTCGATCTTAATCTTGTGTGAATTATGAACTATTGCCTATAAAACTTGTTCTTTGATTTGCATGGGTGAGAATGAGTTTTGTAGCCGATTCAATAAGTCTATTACTTTGGAGACTTAATCAAACAGGGAGTTAGGTAATTTCGAGAGATAGAATTCACTTCTTCCATATGAAAGTAAGTGGATGAGTAGTTCCCTAACGAGCTAATTTGATACTAGAACAATAGAGTCCTACTCTTATGTTTGCTCACCATATATATATATTAATTAATACCTTCCTAATTTGTCTCTATAAATATCTTTTAAAGCTTTGATTTTCAATCATACAAGAACTTGATTTTCTATCTTACTAGCTAAAGTGTTGTTTAAAGTGATATAACTTTGAGCTTCGTTTTGATTTTTTTCATTGTTAAGTAATGGAAGTTTGCTTACACGGGTAGAAGCAAGACCCCTCTATATGATGATTGAAGCAGCTACCAACCATTCCCTACTCGAATCATCTATTAGAGCCATCAAACAGGCCCATTTGAGCCTTAGTGAAGGCCACAACTTCATTGATGCCAATACTCATGGCGATATCAAAGACTCCAGCTTGAGTCCCAACGTTGGTCACAACCTAGTTGTCGATGTCAGTTCTCTTGGTAATGTCAAATCACCTGCCCCAGTCCTCGCAGCAAAGGCCATGGATGTTGTTAATGATCCAACTTTTTGATGCTTAGAAAATGGTCGCTTATAAATACAGTGAAGAGCGATTTTATTAATATGAAACAACTTATATTCTTAATAAAAATTCAACTAATGCATATTATTAAATAACGCTAGGGATTTTAGATTTAAAATTTGAAATAACTAATTTTACTTTGTATAAAGCTCATAAAATGGTTTTCTATAATCTAGGGACGCTGATATATTTCAATTTCATAGTCCCTCTACTCTGATAACACTCATCCCATATCGAGTAAGCTCATGTACCATTTGACAAAAAAAAGCAGCACGAATGAGTATAAAAATACTCTTTAAGTAGCTTACTTTTGGTTATTGATCATCCAAAAATCATATTATGAATCTCTATAATACGTAGAATCGGGAATAATTTCTAATTAACATATGAGAGGATCATGTTCAAGAAATAACTTAAGGGTCTATAGTATACGGATAAAGTTGAGTGTCTTATCTTAGCAACACAATTGATACGACTCATTTTATAATTGTTACAAATAATTTGATACAAATCGTTCGTATGAAGATATGTGATTGAAAGCGTGGAAAACCCTCCATGGACGACTAAAGCTACTCTCAGGAATAGAGTGGGAGAGATAGAAGAGTCCATACAGTCTTATATATGTCGAGGCCTAAGTTAACCACCTAGTGGTCAAGAATATTAGTGTCAACTTTGCAGCCACCCACAACTTCAGGACGAAGATCGTAGTGATTATATTAAGATTTGATTTGTATTCCAATTTGGTTTCTTTTATATTGTTTTATTATTTTATTCTATTTTATAAACTTTTTTTAAGATTAAAAAAACAAAAACAAAAAAAAAACCTCAATATTTCCTACGTTATTTATAATACGAATAAATTAACACTATTTATATATTTTATATTCTTTTTAAATACATGGTTTATAATATGAATAAAGTAACCAATGACTATCTATATATTTTATCCTATTTTTAACGTACTTTATTTATAATATGAATAAACTAACGTATTATTTTCAAGGTTTTAGTTTTATTTGGCAATCTCCTAATTTGTCACCGAAATTTGCTTGGACGGATAGAAGCAAGGTCTCTGAATACGATGAGTGCAGCAACTACCGAAGCTAGATCTAGTTTGAGCGTTGGTGAGGGCCACAACTTCAATGATGCCAATACTTTTGGTCACATCAAGGACTACAGCCCGAGAACCAACGTTGCCCACAACTTTGCTGTCGATGCCGATACTCTTGCTAATGTCAAAGCATCTGGCCCCAGCCCTGGCGGCGGTGGCCATCATGGATGTTGTTAATGATCCAGCTTTTTAATGCTTAGACAAAAGTCGCTTTAAACACAGTGAATAAAGAGCGATTTTATTAATATGAAACTAACAAATAGTGCATGTTATTAAATAACGCTGGGATTCCATAAAATATTTAGATTTAACATTTGAATTAGATAATTTTAATCAATTTATGTATAAAGGTCATAAAATAGAGTTCTAGAATCTACCGAAGACGGTGACATACTTCAACTCCATAGTCCCAATACTCCGATAACACTCATCCCATACCGAGTAAGCTCATGTACCATTTGAAAAAAAAAAATAGCACGAATGAGTATAAAAATCTCTATAAGTAGCTCACTTTTGGTTCTCGACCGTCCAATAATATGATATTATGAATCTCTATAATAATGTGGAATCCAGAATAATTTGTAATTAACATATGAAAGGATCATGTTCAAGAAATAACTTAAGGGTCGTGGGTATGAGAATATGTGATTGAGTTTATATAAGATTGTACTACAAAATATTTAATATCTCTTTATAAATCTATGAATTGAAAAGATTAATATTTTATAAGTGACTCAATCTGGTTTTAGTATCTTACTAAATCCACTAAAGATTTTAGTAGACGTAAAATAAGGAAGAATAAAAACATGTACTCATGTCTATAAGACCTCACATCCTTAACCCTCTCCAGAAAACCCTAATAGAGACACTTAAATAATTATGTGAAAAAACTAAGTTACCTTCAATATTTTTCAACGAAGGGGTAAGGAAAATTATTTAAAATAAAGTTGTCACTCCATAATATGCGTAGAAAATTCATAAATGTTCATAAATGCGTAGAAAATTTAAAAAGATTAAGAATATTTCAAGTGAGTGTCCGATATTATTAATGTATTGTGATTTGTAAATGTTCGATATTTGAACTCGATGAGATTTTAGTTATTAATATAACATGTATTGCGGAGAAATAAGATTTTTTTTTTAAAAAAAAAAAAAACAATACGACAACCCAACCTAACTCGAAAACAGAGGTTGTGAACTCTATTCGGATTGCTCAAATCACCAACCCATCAACCCAAAATTTCTACTTTTCCAACCGAACTCAACTCAATATCAGCTCGCATACACCCCTAGTTTCATTTGGTGCATGACGTGTTTTTTAAATTAATTTTAATAAGTTTTTGAAGTTTAAAATTAATTTCTAGTTGGTCTCTATGTATATTTTTTAAAATTTTATTTACTTACAAAAATGCAAAGTTATTAAAAAAAGGATTTTTGTAAGCAGTTTTAAGGTTCGAACTCAAGCATGAACCAAAATGATTGGTTTCGATGTATCGCCCACCACAATTATGATACAGCCATGAAAAAAGCCCAATTTAACTGCACGCACTGCTCTGACGGAATCAACGATCATCCTCAACCTCACAAACCAAGCTGCGCTACTCAAAATGCGACCACAATCACGCCGCCGTCAAATTCCGGCATTATCCACACTCTGGTAATCACGATTCATTCATCTCCTTCACAGATTATGGCTCCAATTCACTGTTCATAGCATTTCACTGCCTATTATGGACACTCTCTTTGTCCCCATCACCTTCTCCAAACCTATTCATTCTTTACTCACCCGCACCACCAACGCCGGAGCTCGATCCAGGATCGGACCTGTTTCCTGCTTCTCCCTGCGTTCTTCTGTAATTCGGCTCAAGCGCTTCCGTTGCGCTGCCGATGCCTCCGATCACCGGCACGGCCACCACCACCACCACCATAGCTGTCAGCACCATTGCGGTGGTGACGGTGATGGAGTGGAGCTGACTGGAGCTCAGAAGGCGTTTGTTCGATTTGCCGAAGCTATTAGGTGGACGGACTTGGCGAATTATTTGCGGGAGCATCTACACTTATGTTGCGGTTCTGCTGCTTTGTTTATCACTGCGGCTGCATGTCCTTATTTGGTGCCTAAACCTGCTGTGAAGCTTCTACAGAATGTTTTCATTGCTGTTGCTTTCCCTTTAGTCGGGGTACGAATGGTTCACAACCCTCCTTTTGATATGTGGTTACTGCGGCTTGACTGCCATTAATTTGATTAAATGCAAATCGATTATGAATTTTCTTAATTGTAGTAGATTGATCTTGGTGACTGTTCAATATATTATGCCTTTGGATGTAAAAGAATCATCTTACTTGTAAGATTAACAGTATTTTAACACGGTCTCATGGAGGTGATTCTTAGTTTGGATTTTTCATTGTCATTGTGTTAATGCTCGTTACACAAAAGTCCTTCATGAGGATTTTCTTAATTATAATAATTCTTTGTAACTTGAATGACTTATTTGAAATCTAGTAGTTTAAACTATTGAGATTAGTAGCAATTCTGCATGCTAAATCCTATTTGATTCCTGCAACCGAATCATACATAACTCTTGTTGTAGAGGGTTCACGCACTAGAATGCCCTTGTTGACAATCCTTTACTCCGACAGCATCTAGGGTTCCTCGAACAATGTGATATGCTGTTTCATCATTCGAGAAAATTGATGATCTTAGTTATCATATTGATGTGAAGGTTTCTTTCAATCTATCTCTGAGATTTGAGGGCTTTCCTTTACTACAGTTGGGATGCATATTCAACTATTGCTAAATTGTCAGTATTATGTTGCATTGTCTTGATTAAGCAAGATAAGATTTTCTCTTTCAAGATTCTGGAAATATAAAAATAATCCATATCTCAAGTAGAGAGATTAATCTGGCCTTTCTGTGTCTCACCATCAGGTATATTATGGCTTCTCTAGTTGACAGGCAGACCCTTGACACGAACGTCCTCTTTTCCTCTTAATTGTAAAATTTTACTCGGTTCTTCTTTACTGGCAGCCTATCAGAAATTATAGTTATTTGGTGAAATGCATATAGTGGACCATAATTTTATTTAGTATTTGAAGATAATTACTGCAGACCGTTTGAGTATTTTCATCATTATAATTTTTTAAGTTAGTAATGTGCCAATAAATCTAATTAAAATGCCACTGTATCAGGTCTCTGCTTCTCTTGATGCTCTTACTGATATAAGTGGTGGGAAAGTAAACATCCATGTACTAATGGCCCTTGCAGCCTTTGCATCAATATTTATGGGGAACCCCTTGGAGGGAGGACTACTTCTTGTGATGTTTAATCTGGCTCATATTGGTAAGCAGTTACGAGGAAACAAAATTGCTGATAATTTGTATCAAGATTTACTTGGAAGAATCTCATTTTCATTGTGATTGCAGCTGAAGAGTATTTCACAAAGCAATCAATGACTGACGTTAAAGAGTTGAAGGAAAGTCATCCAGATTTTGCCCTTGTTCTGGATATGAATGATGATAACCTTCCTGATACTTCAGATCTGGAGCATCGAAAGGTGCCCGTGCGTGATATTGAAGTGGGCTCATATATCATGGTGGGAGCTGGTGAGGTATGTCATAGAATACTTTCACCTCATGTTAAGATGTTTTGCCAGATGACAATGCAAACCTTGATCCAGAGACTAATAAGGACACCGATGATCGACAATTGTTAGCCATAAGTTATTTAAACTTATGTGTACAATCTAGTTACACTTTGACGCATGTAATCCATCACAATAGTTCCTAGGGAATTTTGTAATCTTTCCATATCTAATTAGTGAAAACCCAACAATGTTATAGTTAAAGGAGAGTGAACAAACAGCTGATTTGAGATATTAGCTATTAAGACAAATAGTCCCTTCTTTTAACCATGTACTTTGAGTACTCTGCGAGAGAATATTCCTTACGTAATTTTTTTTTTTCCATCACAACAGAATCTATAACTAAACGGGGCTAGGACTGAGTGACAAACATATTTTATTTTATATTCTTTTCGCCTTGTTTGTTTATTATCCCTGGAATGTAATTAGGAAATTATAATCCATCTTAGATACACGGTGATTAATAGGTTTCCAGCTCACTTAACCTTGATGTCAGTATTGGATTCGATTCATCATACATATAATGTTTATCCTCTCATGAGACTGATGTTCTGTTCCTCATATACTCATTAAAGAACAAATTTTCTTTACTATTGATACGTAAGCGTGATAGTTCATCATGTCGAATACAGAACACTCGACAATCCTTCCATAAGAAAAATAACAAAGGATATATCCTAACTATTTAAAAACAATTGTGCTCTAGTAGAATTCATAAGAATTCTGCTGAATCGTATAAGGATCCTATATAGTTCTATTAATTTTTTTCTTTCTTTTCCTGAATAGTTCAATTGTTTCTAGATGATGAATTTGAGTATCGTAATGAAGGCTGTTTTTTTGTTAGTCTGTCCCCGTAGATTGTGAGGTTTATCATGGTTGTGCTACGATCACTGTTGAGCACTTAACAGGAGAAATCAAACCATTGCAAATAAAGGTTGGGCAAAGAGTACCAGGTGGAGCAAGAAATTTGGACGGTAGGATCATAGTGAAGGTATGTCAAGGTTGTTGATCTGAATGCCTAGTAATGTTCAGCACAAGATACTTTGTTCTTTTTTGAACCTTGTACCATCTAATATCAGTCATAATAAGTTATAAATCTCACTTCAACATGGAAATTAATGCTAAATTGTATGATTTATTGGAATGGTTAATTATGGCCTGTGTCAGCAAAGGTTTTCAAGCATTTGAATCCTTGTGACTTACCTTTAATTTTGATGGTTTTAGGTATTCCAAATGCTAAACGTTCATAAAGTTTAGATTGATATTCAACCATTGTTGCTGAACCTGTGAAGTATGGATTTGTTATAGGCTACAAAAACATGGGAAGAGTCAACACTTAGCAGGATTGTGCAGTTGACTGAAGAAGCACAACTTAATAAACCAAAACTACAGAGGTGGCTTGATGAATTTGGTGAGAATTACAGCAAAGTGGTTGTAGTTTTATCTGTGGCTGTTGCCCTCATTGGACCATTATTATTCAAGTGGCCCTTTATTTGCACACCAGGTAATCTATGCAATGTGCTCGTACTTTAGCCTTTCTATTTGGGAGAATTATTTCGTTTTTGGTCAAAACTAAGGCTATCATGTGTTACGAAACTATATGGGTCTTTCTTCTTTCCTCCTTTGGATAGGCAACTAGAACGTAATCATCACAAATGAGAATATTTGACCCGAGCTGACCATTGAAAAGATATTTTTTAATTGACAGCCAAATCTATCAGCCGCTTATTCTTTTCCTTCCTCATTATATTGTCGTTCGAAACTTGAGCTCAGCTTAACCACTGTCTCCTTCCCTGGTATCTATTTCACTTCTGATGCCCATATAATTTCTAGGTTTCAGAGGATCAGTTTATAGAGCGCTTGGGTTCATGGTAGCCGCATCACCATGTGCACTGGCTGCAGCTCCATTGGCATACGCTATTGCAATAAGTTCATGTGCAAGAAAGGTACTTGTTACTTGGTTATATAATTATATAGTAAGTTTCTTATATGAGCATTAATAGTTGGAGAAGGCATATGTATCAACTGGTTCATTTCACTGTCACTGAATCAACAACAAAGTTAAACTTTTATGACTATTGTACTTGTCCAACTACCTGTTATGTCATTTAGAGAGTTATTTACCTTCAACTTTATTTTGATTTTCTCATTTGGTTTAAGCTCTGCTCTCATGGCCAATATTTTTTTAGATTTTATAGTAGTTTCTAGAATTAAGATGATTCTATTAACAAAAATTTTAGACTCTGGATGTTTTCTAAAAAATTTAAACCTCTCTCTCTCTCTCTCTCGATATATATATATATGAAAGAAAAACTATCTTTTAAATTGGTTAGTCTTGGTTAAATGAGTGAGTAATTTGTTAGCTTCACACCTCCATTTCAAAATGTTAGGGTTTGAACTAGATTGAAGTGAAACAAATACAAATTATTATTAGACTAACGAGTCTTCTGGTACACACTCAGTTTCCAAATGTACACTATGTACCCTTCTGGTCTTTCCTCCCACTTACACACCATAGCTGATAGAGAAATCAGAACAATAAATACTAAACTCAGAAAAAGGCATGCTAAATCTAAACACAGTCTTCAGTGGATGATTGCTTCATTCTTTCAATTTTTGCTTGAAGATTTAGCTTAAGTTTTTCGATCATGTGCAAAGATACTTATGTTTGGGAGTAACCTGGAAAGATGGGCATGTGCTTGATGAAACAGGGTATACTTCTGAAAGGTGGACATGTGCTTGATGCTATGGCTTCTTGTGACACCGTTGCATTTGATAAAACCGGGACATTGACTACAGGAGGACTTGTATTTAAAGCCATAGAACCCATTTATGGGCATAAGATTGGAGGCGATAATTCACATTTGGCTTCCTGTTGCATACCCAGCTGTGAAAAAGAAGCCCTTGCTGTTGCAGCTGCCATGGAAAAGGGTACTACTCACCCAATTGGAAGGTAGTTGTCAAAATAAATTGTCTCCCTAGAATATTTTGCTTCTTATAGGTTTTATTTTCCTGACGAGGTCTGATGTAGTTTATCTACTACAATATTTGGTTGAAAAATTTGACGTCGTTTGCCACCCAAAAAGCTTGATTTGGGGGGAGGGGGAATTGTAACTGTTTAATTCACATTCATCGTTTACTTGGTTTCTTTACACTTATGCTATGCTTCAACCTTCCCGATATTTGATGTTGTATCAACTTAATGATTTTTGCCACAGAACCATGGAGTCGAACTTTGTATGCTTAGGTAGTCCATGTTAAATGGGGAGTGAGTATTCTCACCCAGCACCTAAGATTGCATATATTGTTGAATATAAGAACATTGTTATATATGATTGCTTGAGAATTAGAAGAGAGAGGAATTATATATTTAGAATAACATACCTGGACACAAATAGCTACTTGATCCTTTTGGAGTATATCATGTAAGTAAACTCTTCCTTACACCTGCAGTTACTTATATTGTAAGACTTAGATTAGCATTATATTTTTTGGAATGAATAAGGAGGAACTATGTTCATCTCTTGGGATGGAATAACTAAGTTTTTCATTACTACTACTATATTTGCTTCTGGGTTACTAGCCATCAGTTTCATTACTGCCCCCTTAATTGTGCAGTTAATGTATTTCAATCTACTCATGCTTGTATCTCAAATCTGCTGGATGGTTTTTTTCTGGATTATTTGCTTCTATTTTCTGTCTGAAATATTCATTTTCTAATTCCAAGTAGTTATAACTTTCTTTTTTTTGGTTGTAGAGCTGTTGTAGATCATAGTGTGGGGAAAAACCTTCCTTCTATTTCTGTTGAAAGTTTCGAATATTTCCCTGGAAGAGGTCTCATCGCAACTTTGCATGGCATTAAGGTAGTATATGCTTCACATTGCTGGATGTCTTAGCGATCTTTGGTTTCATTTTAACCGTAGAATTTCTTAGATTCCTTCGTCTTTGAATTTCTGCAATATATTTCCTTTTCTTGCTGCATATTTTCTATTGTCATATATTTTAGCCTTCTTCACCTGTACGCCACTGGCCATAAGCCACAGAGTATCTGATTCCACTCCATATGATGTGCTATTATCGAGCAATTTCCATGGGCCAGAGTCGTCCGTTCTTTCAAAAAAACAAAGGCAACCCTTAAAAACTCGCAAGATTTTAGAAATATTTAGACTTTAGATTGTAAGCAAGACTAGGCACAAACTTCTATACATGAACATCTGAAATTCTAGATTTATTTCTGCACACGAGATCATCTTCACCTGAAAAAAGTAACAAATTACAAATCTATTGAAGACTAAATAAACTTCTATTGCTTAAATTAAGCGACACTGTGCCCGATGCCAAATGAATGAATCCTATATAAAATATTCTAGTTTGTCTCAAGTTAAGTTATTTTGAAAATTTGTTAAAAGTAAGAGCCTGGAATCTACCATTATTTCAGGAGTTGAAGAAAACTATTCTTCTTTGCAAATGTTCCATGTCACGGTCTTGGAATTTTGAACGGGCTTCTCTGAAATTTGTAACATCTAAATCATGATAAATACTTTACTATTAATATTTTACTTGTTTTGAGAATTAAAATTTTAAAATTCTTGGTTCAATAATTGCCTTTAGGTAAGAGGAGAAGAGTATTTAAATCCATCTGCATCTTATAGTCAGGAATTGGAGGTCCATTGCGGAAAGCATCCCTTGGTTCTGTGGATTTCATCACTTCCTTTTGCAAGTCCGAAAACGAATCAAGGAAGATCAAGGAAGCTGTTCGAGCATCATCATATGGAAGCGAATTTGTTCATGCTGCTCTTTCAGTTGATCAGAAGGTGAGAAATTTCCATGATCCTTCTAAATTTGCTGCAGAGTTTGGTGGAATAATCTCGAAGACATTAATCAAATTTGCATAAATTTTACAAATATTTTTTCAAGCACATGGGTTAGCCTAGCTTATCTAGAAATCTTGGATTCTTGAAAAATAACTCTCAGACGAATGGGGTAGTTTCTCTATTCCAGTTCATCCTTTAACTTTATGCCCATATATTTTATTGTAGTGCAACTACAGTTCGAAAATTTCACCTCAACAAAAACGATGTGCAACACTAGCCTCCTTTGAAAGCTAGATTCAGAGATTCTTCTTTGATATATAATTTTTTGAATATTCTTCTCAAGACTTTTAGTCAGTAGGTCGGTCATGCTTTGAGAACATATGTTGCATTTGTGTCATTGTCTTAATGATGTAAAATCCAGGATATTCTGTTGAATTTTTGCTGGATCTGTACAGGTAACACTGATTCACCTCGAGGATCAGCCTCGAGCTGGCGTCTTAGATGCAATAGCAGAACTACAAGATCAGGCAAAACTCCGTGTTATGATGTTAACTGGTGATCATGATTCAAGTGCATGGAAAATTGCAAATGCTGTGGGAATAGATGAAGTTTACTACAGTCTTAAGCCTGAGGATAAACTTGCTCATGTGAAGGAAATTTCGAGGGAGAAGGGTAAGTTTTCGTACTCGGTCACTTCATGTTGTCTCTTTTTGTATAACCCTTTTTCATAATAGCAAGTAATCCAAGATTCCCATCACATTTTAGTTTCCTGTTGAGATAAAACCTAATAAATCTTCTATGATTCATATCAATTTCTACAAGTTCTTGGTGATATTTTATTCACCCTCAGACCAGATTGTGGAGTCTGAAATCTTTAACTAATAGATGAACGATTTTCCTCTGCAATGTTCAATGTTTCAAACAAGAAATCACAGAAATTTATGTTTTCATGCAAGTTAAGTTTTTCCTTAGCGTGTAACTACAGATATAAAACTTCTCTTCCACTTCTAAGTTTTATATTTGCCAAATGATAGATTGATTGGTCTGAACCATCCCTAGGGGGTGAATAATGAGCACTTTGTATCTCATTTTATTATAGGTGGTGGTCTGATCATGGTAGGCGAGGGTATAAACGATGCACCTGCACTTGCTGCAGCTACTGTAGGAATAGTTCTTGCCTGTCGTGCAAGCGCGACTGCTACAGCTGTCGCGGATGTCCTTCTTCTTCAAGATAGTATTTCCGGTGTTCCATTCTGTATTGCCAAATCTCGTCAGACGACTGCGCTGGTATCTCTGTCTACCATCTATTATTGGTCACAGTATTCCATTTCTCTTTCCCTGTTTCACTGTTTTAATTTGTTTCAGGTCAAGCAAAATGTTACCCTTGCCTTGTCGTCTATCCTTTTAGCCTCTCTCCCATCCATTTTGGGGTTTCTTCCCTTGTGGCTAACGGTATGAAGTTAAAAAGCTTATTGCCTTACTTTGTGAACTTAATTTGTGCCTATGCCCTGTTATTAAATTATTTTGTGAAATGGCTGGTAAAGCTCTATGTAGAGAACTGAAAATCTTCGTGTCACTGATTTGCTATTAAAATAAATAAGTCCAATGTGTCAAAAATGGCCAGTATAGCTCAGTTGGTAGAGCAGAGAACTGAAGATTTTCGTGTCACCAATTCAAATCTGCCATTAAAATAAGTCTAATGTGTTGGAAATGAAATGGCCGATATAGCTCAGTTGGTAGAACAGAGGACTTAAAATCTTCGTGTCACCGATTTGCTATTAAAAGAAATAAGTCTAATGTGTCGGAAATGGCTGGTATAGCCCAGTTGTTAGAGCAGAGGACTGAAGATCTTTGTATCACCGGTTCAAATTTGCTATTAAAATAAGTCTAATGTGTCGGAAATGAAATGACCAGTATAGCTCAGTTGGTAGAGCAGAGAACTGAAAATCTTCGTGTCACCGATTTGCTATTTGCATAACAATTTAAAATCAGCAAGTTTTAGCGGTTCTTAGCATTAACACATATATCTTCAACTAAAAGGTTGAAAATTTGAATTTTCAATCCGTGAACGATAAAATAAATAATTTTGTTTTGTGAATTAGGTTGATAGTATCCTTATATGTTTTAAACACAATCTCAAACGCCCCTGTAATTTGCAGAACTTACAAAAAGAGGATCATACCATCCTTATCCTTCTCTATCTGCACATTGCTAGTCCATTCCGTTTAACAAGTGATGATATTCATTTCATGATTCTTCACAAACGCAGGTCCTTCTACACGAGGGTGGTACTCTCCTGGTTTGCCTGAACTCCATTCGTGCTCTAAATCATCCCTCATGGTCATGGAAGCAAGATTTTCAAAATCTGATCCACAACGCCAGATCTAGTCTGCACACCACGCCCGAACCTAGCTCAGGTACCATCCGAACTGCATCATCATAACATAAAAATCGAAAATTATAGTTTCCTTGCCTAGGTAAGCCATGATCTTAACCAAAACTCACATTCATATATATATTTTCATTGTTACTTACCTTTGGATTTGTAAATTATACTATATGTACGAATGCTATTGTTATACAGTCAGTTGAAATAATATGTAGTTTTGTGGTGGGTCATGTAAGCCAAAATTTTGTAACCATTAGTAATCTCCAACCAAGTTCTATTCTTCCTCTTGTTTTTTAATCATTTTTAGCAGGTATGCTCTGAATGTTTAGGGGATTAATGAACAAAAAAACATCACAACACTAAGATCTATGGAAAAAAATTCAAAATTTTCAGGTACCAATTTCATCCAAAACTTTTAATTTCATTATAGATTTAGATATGTGCTGCAATTTCTATCGTCAATGGAATCAAACATCTTACACAATCAAAGTTGAAAGTTTGTTACTTGTCAGAGTTATTGAAACTTAAACTTGGTCACTTTGTTTTTGTCATTTTCTTCTCAATGGGCCATCCTCGACATGTTTTTGCAGTTGTACCTTATTTATAGGTGTCTTTATGGGCATCTCCACATGCTTCTGCAGTTGTACCTTATTTATGGGCCATGTCTACAGTACCTTATTTTTGAAAATTTCTAAAGAAGTTATTAGTATTAGTCTAACACTCTAAAATGGTATGATGTCGTCCACTTTGAGCATAACTTTGGCTATGCTTTGGACTTCCCAAAATGCTTCATACCAATAGAGATAACATTCTTTGATTATTTATGGGCCATGTACTTCGGTAGATTCTATTGTTTTCTTCTCAATAATTTAGCATTTATTAATTTTTTTTTTTTAAATAAGTTTTATTTGCAAGTTAGAAAACTGTTGTGATTGAAAATATTTTGTGAGAAAATATTTGTCTGAATGTACTTCAATGAAGGATCATACATCTTACATGCATTTATTGAAATGGTTATGGTTGGTTGAGGTACTTATGGGCATTAAATATCATATGCTCCACCAACGAACACTTATCTCACCTTTATTAAATACTCTGGTGGAGGTGGTATGCCCTTTTCTTGATTCAACACTCATAGATTTATTAGATTATTCAAATACGGTGAAATAAGGATCACACACCGAAAAGAATTAAATACAAACTACTGTAGTTAAAAACCAGATGTGTTGTACGGATGAAAGTAGAGCTTAAATTTTTAATATGATCGTGAATATAAAACTTGAATAGACAGTAATAAAGAATTACGGGCGGTTTATTGTTGTACATAAACCATCATTGACAATTTTGTGTGCGTCGGTTCTAGGTCAGTTAAACTAATTTGGTTCAATTTTATGGTAAGTATTCTACCATTTTTCCTTGTTTTAAGTGAGTATTATTTTAAGCAGGACTGTTTTTAGAAGTTGATTAAGGGTGATCGTCCAAAAAGAGATTTGGAATAGAGTAGACAGACAGTGTATTGATATTTAAATTTAGGTAAGTAATTTTCGTGTTGGATGATCAGGGTCTCTAGATTCGATTAGGGTCACATACTAGATGGTCCTATTTTTGAGACATCACAGGCTAAATGAACTTGTTTTGAACAATTTTACGTCCGATTCGACTACATTTTGTTGTGTGTATATATTTAACCCCACTAGAGGATTACTTCTTGAATAACTTTTGAAACACCTTTTTTCAAATAAAGGTAGGGAACACTGAAATCCCTAGCTGTACAATTTTTAATTTGCTTTTATTTTACCAAACTTTTTAAAAATAGTGGTAAACTTTATTTCTTTTGAACTTTAATTATGATCCATTCATTTATTTGTTACATATATTTTTTTTTTAAAAAATGATGAAATGCAAATACAGCTATCTGAGTAGGTCTAAACTTAGAAAAACCGAGTCAGATGTTCATGTTTAAATATTGGAATACAGTAAGGTTTAAATTTTTAAACAAGTACGTTAATTGAATCTCCATCTATACAAAATTCCAAAATTGTCCTCGTGAAGAATCTCGAAAAGACAACCCGTTATTCTCACCTATCCCTTAAATTAAAAGTCACACGTCATGAGACTTGTCCTCTTGCATACCTAATTCTTTCCAATTTTATTTCACCTCTACGTGTAAAATTTGTATTTTTTTTTTTTTGGTTACTCTATCAATAAAAGAAAAGTTACGAGAATTAAAAAAATAATATTATTTTTTTTCCACAGTTGACTTTTTAAGGGAGAACTCAACAAGACGATGGTCTAAAATGAGAAGATAACAATAGAATCTCCAGAAGCACATGGAAACTCGAGATCTCTTTCTCTATATCTCTCGACTTTAACGTATAACTCGACCATCAGGTTAAAAAGACGTATGTAGCCCTGGTACCTCCCCTTGAAAAGTGAAGTAATAAAGTTAAAAAAAAAAAAAAAAAAAAAAAAAAAAAAA